ATTACTTACAGCAGCAGAATACCACAGAAATATCAGACGAAACATGAAAACACTATATATTGTATTTCAGCTTGAACCCTCTATATTGCAATTCAAGGAATTAATCCCATATGTGCATCCATTTCCCACCTTGGTATCACCCACACCTGAAAACAAACTCTTAATACCACGCTGAAGCGTTTGGTAATAAAGTGAATTGCTTAAACAAAATCAACAATATCCATCATTTTAAAAAAAAACTGTACATTTATTAATTTTACTCAAGCAGTGATATTCCACTAACAAACGGCACATCAACACTTGCATATATATATTCAATTCCTACTAGTTATAATTTCTGACACTCTATGTACCCCATTTCTGAGTTCTAATGAGGGCAAATTTGGGAAAACACTTACTCCTGCATAAGATGGAAGATTTACTAACTACTGGTTACACAAATGAAATAATTATACACAAATATATGTAATTATTGCTTTTCTAGACACCATTCCTCATTATGTTTACACATGTGCGTATTTAACTACATTTTGTTGAAACATACTGTCACGATCACGTGACTGGCAAAAATGTAATCTTATGATGTTCTAATAGATACAAGAATTGTTATTTGCTAATTGCAAAGCAAGTCATTTCTAAAATTAAATAATAAAAAATAAATAATATGAAAAATTACATTTGAATATGAGGCTAAGATTTTGATGTAATTTTATTGTAAACTCGATTCTCCAGAATGTACTTTTGCTCAGTATGTTTGATGTGAAATAAATATATTATAACAAAAAAAAAACTTTCAACGTTGAACTTGTTATCAAATTTATTTTAAGAACACGTGTCTTTTCTGTATGATCTCGTTCTGGTAACTTCAGCATGTGGCATCTTTAACACAGTTTGTGCATATCCTGGATGAACATTACAACAGAAATAAAATATTTAATCACTTATCCTCCGGCATAGATGTATGTATGAAGGTAATATCATGCACTGTGTGTGGTTTGCAATGTAGAACACAAAATGTGTCGAAATAGACGCGTTGCATTCGAAGTACTGAGAATTGCTACATTCGAAGACGCGGGAACCAGAAGAAAATGTTTGGCACGCACCAATGCTGACTTCTTTGGGACGTCTTATACAGGAGTCGATACAGGAATTGTAAAAATTTGGCGATTAGCACATTACTTTATTAGAATAGAACATTTTCTGTATTTACCAAGAAACTATGTTGATACGTTCATAGACTTACGACGAACCCGGAACCAAAAAAAACGTCTCATCCAAACGACCTGCGTTCTTGAAAATCGAGTCTTACCGCCCTTGCGTTTCCAAGCGAAAAAACGTCGAGCCTGGCCAAAAACGAATGATTTTTGTTCCAACTTTTATGAATTTTTGATGAGGACATGAATTCAGTACATTCAGTTAGATAAGTTATTAAATTAGAAACGAGCCACGTCTTTATAATGTATCAATATACATATGGGAGATGAAATTGCACTAAAATCACCAATTGAAGATGTACATATAAATTATCTTGTTTTCTCTTGGGGACACCCAAAAACACCCCAACAATGGGCTTATACGGTGACCATGGACGTTATCCATTAGAGACTTTTATGGGAAAACAAATGATAAAATATTTCAATCGTGTACAGAACAGAACTCATTAAAACAAGCTTTCCAAGAAAACAAAGAAATTAATAGTAAATGGCACACTAATACAGA